AGTTTCTTCCTTGTCAGGTCTCCCAGGCACTGCCCCCCGCCCCTCGTTTCAGGTGCAGTCTTCCCTCCTCCACACCCCTTAGAACTCCCTCAGCCGCATGCTGTCAAAGGCGCTGCCCAGGCTGCGTTCAGGAGCAGTGCTCCTCTGCCTGGCTGGAACTAGACGCTCTTCTTATGCCTGAGGTCCCATCCCCTCCTCAGGGAGACACAGCAAAGAGTGATCCTCACGCTTAAATGTTGATAAAACTTTCTTCATGATCAGCTCTGTTTGCTTCCCTTGACAATTTGCTCCCTTAAATATATAATCTGATGACCTCTTTTATATTTTCCTGCTTCCCTTTAAAACTGTGTTCTAGTCATGGAATCTACCCTAACCAGTCTGCTGAAATTACCCCAGCAAAGTCAGCGGTAACCTCCTTGTTGCAAAATCCATCCTTCTTATGCACTCCTCCTTTTGGCACACCCTTCTGTCTTTCTGTATATTCTTAAGTGTCGTTTTCTTCTCTCTCTCAAAGACCAGTGCATTGTACATTCTCTCATAACTCTTCATCTCCCCTGGGGCCTGAAGTGCTTTTTAAGTGGATGACTTGCCTCTCCTTTTCAGTCCCAACTTTTCTTCTGACTGATTGATTGGTAGTTGTCCACTAGCTGAAGTTAATTGGGTAGAGAGCATAGGGATCTCAGATGCGACATTTCTAAAACTGAACGCATCCTTAGCTTATTATACTGTCTACAATTTGTTTCTTTTTTTATATTGACTGACATCATGGGTTTCTAGTTGGACAAGCTAGGCACTTTGGGTTCACTATCTAATTCATTTTACTCCTTTCTCATTTGCTCTCCTCGTCATAGTAGTCAGCCAATTCTAGTTGTTTTGTCACAGAAATCATGCCATATTGATCTGTGCATTCCCAATCTTTTTGATTATTAGAAGTCTATCCAAACCTCTAAATACTAGTTTGTGTTATGTCTATAGAATAACATTTAGGAAGTGGTATTTTAATGAAGACTTTGTGGCAGCTAACTTGGCGTGAAAGAGAAATAGCTTGCTGTTTTCTACTTTGGGTGGGAAGATGTGTGTGTGTGTGTGTGTGTAGTGTGCACACACACTTAGCTAAGTGTAAATGTGTAGAAATGATCCAATACAAATATTACTTTAACTTCAAATAAATATAGCTAAGTAATAGTGTGCCCTTAAGATTTGGTGTCATTTTAAGGTATTAAATATTCAATTTCATGACAGTCATAACAGAGGACAGAATTGTTTGCTAACATAAAACACAAAAGAAAGCAAACTTTTTTTTAAAGATTTATTTATTTGTATTGGAAAGTCAAGTTTACAGAAAAAAGGAAAGACAGAAAGATCTGCTGGTTCACTGTCCAAGTGGCTACAACAGGCTGAGCCAGAGCTGAGCCGATCCACAGTCAGGGAGCTAGGAGCTTCTTCTGGGTCTCCCAAGTGGGTACATGGCCCCAAAGTTTTGGGCTATCTTCTACTGCTTTCCCAGGCCACAAGCAGGGAGCTAGATGGGAAATGGAGCTGCTGGGATTATAACCGGCACCCATATGAGATCCTGGAGCCTTCAAGGTGAGGACTTTAGGTGCTAGGCCACAGCGCCAGGCCCTATAAATGGACTTTTAAAAGATTTAAGATTTTGACTTATTTCTTCCAAACTAGCTGTCATGTACAGTTTTTAAATAATTTTTAAAATTTATGCTCATAATATCCAATGGTAGTGGTTTATAAATAACTGCTTAGGATAAGCTCTGTATTTTAGGAAGAATTTTTAATAATAGAAAGTAAACATTTTCTGGTGTTATAGAATGTGCTGGCCTTTCTCGATTGGTGGAGAAGCAAGCTCTGTGCCCCAAGATGTCTGAAGGTTTTTTGTGAAGTTACCTTCTGTGTGTCTGGGGTGGTCTAGGGATTGTTTGATGAGGAGAACTGAGAAGAGAGACTTAGGTCATTTTTCTTGTTCTGGTGATTGAAATGAAGATTCCCAGTTATGGGTGTTAAATTGTTCCGTCACTTGGATAATCATGTGAGGATTAAATGACATAATATGCTATCTGTCCTTTTGGCCTCTCGTTACCTTGCCTTTTTTTTTTTTCCCCAGATATTAAACATTTTTTTTCCATTTATTCTTTCAGATCAGTTTTTTAGAATCATTTAGTCAAGTTCCAGGAAGAACCCCAGTAGGTTTTTTTTTAGTTGTGATTACATAAACCTAATCATTGAGTTTTAAAATTTTAATGTATTATTTTGAGAGGAAAAGAGGAGGGAAGGGAGAGATATATAGAGAGAAAGCATACTCCCCCAGGCCACTGGCTCATCCCCACCTGCCAGCCTAAGGCCTAGGGCTTGGGGAGGGGCAAAAGCTGGACAGTAGTAAGTCTCCCGTAAGGTGTCTGGACCTCCGCTGTCCCCGGTCTGCATTGGGAGGAAGCTAGGATACAAAGCCACAGCTGGGAATAGAACCCACACGTGGACAGGGGAGTCTGCTGTCTTAACCACTAGGCTACACTCTCACAGTAGCCTGTATATTTAGAAAACATAGTATGATTATAATATATAGTTTTCCTATCTGGAAAGACTGTTTGCTACTTTACATAAAATTTCTCTTACATTTTATAAAGCTTAATAGTTCTTCATAAGGGGAAAATTATGTTTTTGTCACTACTAAGTGACATCATTTTCCCATTGTATTTTCTAAGTGGTTATTGATGATACTTTCACATTTTCTAGACTTAAAATGTATATTCTTTAAGAATACTCACCTTTTTCCTTTTCAGTCTTTGTTTTTTGGTTTCTAAGAACCTTCAAAAGAATGTTAGCTGATATGTGTCATGGGGTTTTAAAATCTATTTTGACAGAATGTCCTTCATGTCTTTATTTTATTCATTATAATAGGTATAATGTTGACTGCAATTTAAAATGTATTTTCAACTCTTTTTTTCAATTTTTTCTTAACATTTCATTTAAGATGTAGAGAGAAAGGAACAGCTGTCATCCTGGGGTTCACCTCCCAAATGCTCAGAACAGGAGGGTGGGGCCTCTTCTGAACCAGAAGCTGAGCGCTCAGACTGGGTCCCTGAGGTGGGGTGCATGGCCCCAACTACTTGAGCTGTCACCTGCTGTCTCCTAGGGTGCACATTTTCAAGGAATTTGGAATTCAGAGTGGAACTAGAACTCAAGTCTGGGCACTGTTGGTATGAAATGCGAGTGCCGGAATCATTCCTCTCACCCCCACTGTTTCCAGCTCTTTGGATAATTATAATAATATATGCTCATTTAAAAATATAATCAGGGGCCTGGCATGGTGGCGCAGTGGTTAAGGTCCTCGCCTTGCACGCCCGGGATCCCATATGGGCACTGGTTCTATCCCGGCAGCCCCGCTTCCCTTCCAGCTCCCTGCCTGTGGCCTGGGAAGGCAGTCAAGGACGGCCCAAACCTTTGGGACCCTGCACCTGCGTGGGAGACCTGGAAGAGGCTCCTGGCTTCGGATCGGCATAGTATCGGCCATTGCGCTCACTTGGGGAGTGAATCATCGGACGGAAGATCTTCCTCTCTGTCTCTCCTCTCTGTATATCTGCCTTTCCAATAAAAAATAATAAAAATAAGTCTTTAAAAAATATATATAATCAGTGTAAAATATGTAACTGTCAGCTGTCAGTCTATTTGTATTTAAGATTTGAAGTTAATATTGTATTGAATTTTTACTATAATACTTAATTTTTAAATTAAATTTAACCTGCTGTATATTTATATCTTAGTATCTATTGTAGCATTAAAACATGCAAAGGATAAATCCTACTTTACCGTGGTTGGTAATCCTTTCCTGGTATATGCTGTGGGAAGTGAGGTAAGTTAGGAGCTTTGAATCCAAGCAGATTAAATATATATTTATTTCGATCATTTTCAGTTTATTGGACCTTGATAAATGTAACTCCTGAAAGCTAACTTTTGTAGTCTAATGGCTTTCCTGCTCCTCGGATATTTTCTGCTTCTACTCCTTGACCTATTTTGCCTCCAACCTGCAGTTCTATAGCTAGAGGAATTCTGAAATCCTCCTCAAGATTATGTAGAAATCTTATTATCATTATCTGGTTCTGCCATTGTGCTTGTTTCTCATCTCCTTAACACACATATGAAATTCAACCCTTTTCTTGATTTTTACCTATAGAAGCAAAACTGCATTTATTTTTTGTGGGGAGGAGCTGTGAATTTGGCTGGCCCCGAATTAAGGAAAACTTTGAAGTATCAGCAGTATGACCTAAAATAGGGCAGTCACTGTACTTACAACACCTTGCCTGAATTTCTTGGTTTTAGTTACTAATAATTTTTTAAAGATTTATTTGTTTTTATTGGAAAGTTAAATTTACAGATTTACAGAGAGAAGAGGATACAAAGATCTTCCAGTTGCCTGTTCACACCCCACACTGGTCTGAGCTGAACCAATCCAAAACCAGGAGCTTCTTCAGGGTCTCCCACGTGGGTGCAGGGTCCCAAGGCTTTGGGCTGTTCTTCACAGTTTTCCCAGGCCACAAGCAGGGAGCTGGGTGGGTAGTGAAGCAGACAGGATATGAACCAGTGCCCATATGGGATCCTGGTGCATGCAGGACACAAGGACTTCAGCCACTAGGTTACCGCACTGGCCCCAGTACCTTTCTTATTACCATATTACCTTTCCTTTTTAGGAGTGTGCTTAGTAAACAGATTATGAAGCATGCGGGTCAATATGCATAGTAGGTAGGCAGTGTTCTTTGCCTCTGTATCACTCTGGATGCTTAACTCATGTTTGTCATGTGTATTCCCAGTAGCTATGTTAGTTTGCTTGTAATATAAGAGTTGATATGCCTTTTTTGTTCTGAATATTCTCTTTTGTAGAGTTCTGAAACTTTCTTCACTTGTTAAACTTCTAGGATGATTTAAAAATTGCTATTTGTTGTTCTGTGTAAAAAAGCTTATTTATTTATTTATTTACTTTACTGGTTTTGCAGAAATTTGTAAAAGCTAATATGGCCACAGGAGGAGGTCCTTTTGAAGAAGGTATGGATGATCAGGATTTACCCAACTGGAGCAATGAGAGTGTTGATGATCGACTCAACAACATGGTATGATATCATCCTGTTATTGGTGGAGTATTGTTTGCTACTAATGTTTTTAAAGATTTTATTTATTTGATAGGCAGAGTGACAGAGGGAGAGATAGGCAGAGGTGATCCATCTGCTGACTCATTCCCCAGATGTCCACAGCAACTAGGTCTGGGCCAGGTCACAGCCAAGAGCCAGAAATTTCACCCCCATCTCGTAAGAGTGCCTGGGGCCCAAGCATCCAGGCTGTTCTCTGCTGACTCCCCAGGTGCGCACAGCAGGGGAGTGGTTTAGAAGTGGAGCAAATGGGACTTGAACAGCACTCTGATATGGAATGCCAACATTGCAAATGACAGCTAGACCGACTAAGTTACATGTAATGTGAGCCTCAGTTACTGATGTTAAAATACTACTCTGCCCTGATTGGTTGCTTCTAGTTGGCTGAAGCTTGTAAGCATTGTTGGCCAAGATAGTAATGGGCCCCGGGCTGCAACTAACCGAAATGAACCTGGGTTAGTATAAACCCCAAAGGAAATTGATTTAAATGATATGGAAGTATTTTATGGAAGCCATGTGAATGGACTACAGGTGGGTTCTAGAAAGGAACTGGGAAAAGGAGCACTGTCCTGGATTACTTTTTTACTACCCTGACACTGCTTCTGAGTGTCTCTGCTTTGTCTGCCCAGACTAACTCTTTCTCTACTTCTTGTGTATACTTGAGCTGACCCACCATGCTGAAGATTTCCATTATGGCTAGCATTAGATATTGACTAGTCACCCCTTAGGTTTAATTTGAAGTTTTAAAGTATGGTCTTCTCAGTTTGTAGTAGGTCTGTGTTTATTTTCCAAGCATCTGTGGCCATGAAGTGACAGGGTAAGTAGTGTAGAAGTTTGGCAAGGTCCTCCATACATAAGCTGGGTGAAGGGACAGTCTGTAGAGGCTGGAATTTTAGTGTAAATGAGGAAGACAGTTTAAGTAGTTTCACCTTAATAATCACTTCCAATATGGATAAGGTGGGAATTTGTAGACATTTTTGGTTAAATGTGTTATGTGGATGTGGGTACAGCTAAGAAACAGTGTTTCCTAGTTAAAACATTAAGCGCCTCTTTGTATATCAGATTACCATTTAGTATAATTTTATCTCTGAAAACATTGTTATTGCTTATTAAATACTAATATGGTAGATATTTTGTGCTTGTTATTTTAATCCTGTTTTAAAGGTGATGATATTTGAGAGGTTAGGAAACTGAGACTTTGGGAAGCTAAAGAAATTATATAGAGTCACACAATATAATGTTTATTTGGAAAAGAATTACTGCAGAACCCTTGTCAATTCCAGATCTTTTTAATCATGTAGACAGACTTTGAAGGAAGTCAGTAATAGTGTCTGCGATATCTTTCATTATTCAGTCTGTAAGTGGCAAAGAACAGCTTTTAAACATACTTTTGAAATACTCATTGATTTTTTTATGTTCATGATTTGAGGGGTTTGTTTATGTTCTGTGGTAGGAAAGTGATCTGTCTTGTGAAGGCTAAGAAATTAGAATAGATGTAATAAGAGGAAATTGTTAGCATAAATATATAATTGTCTATAGGAGTTTATACTTAAGTGAAAAGTTTTGCCATTTTAATTTTAAGATTGGCTAACATTTTTAAACATGAAATTATTTTCTGCATTTGATAGAAAATGTTTTTCCTTTCTTGAAGGATTGGAGTGGCCAACAGAAGAAGGCAAATAGATCATCAGAAAAGAATAAGAAAAAGTTTGCTGTAGACAGTGATAAAAGGGTAACTAATGATATTTCTCCGGAGTCGTCACCAGGAGTTGGAAGGCGAAGAACAAAGACTCCACACACGTTTCCACACAGTAGATACATGACTCAGATGTCTGTCCCAGAGCAGGCCGAATTAGAGAAGCTTAAACAGCGGATAAACTTCAGTGATTTAGATCAGGTTTGTAAATTACTTTTAAATAACCCGTTAGAATTACTTGTGGATTGAGTAATTTGTCCTAAGAAGAAAAACTGGGCTGTTTCCTCATTTTTTGTGTGTTTGTATGTGGAAAGAAAATTAATAGTGATGGTGCCGATTGGAGAGAAACAAAATCTACAAACTGAACTTGTTAAAGACAAGTCTTTATGGGCCTTACTGCTTTGCTGTGTGATTAATTTAATGAGTTCATTCGGAAGCTAAATTTCACACTTCAGTAACAATAAAATTGCCATTAAGTAAATTGAAATATTCAGTTTATTTATTACTAAGTAAATGTGAGCTGTGGTGCATTACCTCAGGTTTAGAATAAAACTTATTTGTATTTATGATCACTATAAAAGGTTGGAAATGAGAATGAACCTTTGATAAATATCATGTCTGTACTTATGCGCCTGGCAGCGTGGCCTACAGGCTAAGGTCCTCGCCTTGAACACGTCGGGATCCCATATGGGCTTCGGTTCTATCCCGGTAGCCCCACTTCCCATCCAGCTCCCTGCTTGTGGCCTGGGAAAGCAGTCGAGGACAGCCCAGAGCTTTGGGACCCTGCACCTGTGTGGGATACCTGGAAGAGGTTCTGGGTTCCCAGCTTCAGATTGGCGCAGCACCGGCCGTTGTGGTCACTTGGGGAGTGAATCATTGGACGAAAGATCTTCCTCTCTCTCTCTCCTGCTCTCTGTGTATCTGACTTTGTAATAAAAATAAGCAAATAAATATTTTAAAAAATAAAAATATCATGTCTGTACTTAGAGGAGGTAAGCAGGCTTATAAATCTGCAGAAAGGTAGATTTAATTATGATGATGGTGGTGATGATCCTGTATTATTAATACCTGTTTACTGATTATTGCACACTTGACTATAAGCCAGATACTGGGCTCATTATTTTTTCAGACAAAGCTTCATATAAATACATCTTGATGCTATTCAAATTAGTTAACTGGGTTTAAAGGCTATAGTATTTCTGTAAGTGTTAATAAGTACTTGTAGCAATTATAGATGTGGCCCATAGTGCTATTACTTCATTTAGGTTAATCTTGTTCATAATCATCAGTGGGATTTTCTCAATAAAATAGACCAGGAAGTGCTAATTGAATTTTGATAATTTAGTAAAAGAATTTTGTGGATGTGAAACTCTTTCTACAAACTGTTCATCCATAACTGCTGAATCATCATCTGGGGAGCAAAAGTTAGAACACAGAGTTAAAGTTTGTTGAAAGAATGCCTATGTGGTATGGATTTGTTTTTGTTAACAGAGAAGCATTGGAAGTGATTCTCAAGGTAGAGCAACAGCTGCGAACAACAAACGTCAGCTTGGTGAAAACCGGAAGCCCTTCAACTTTTTGCCTATGCAGATTAATACCAACAAGAGCAAAGATGCTGCTACAAGTCCGCAAAAGAGAGAAACAGTTGGATCAGCACAATGTAAAGAATTATTTGCTTCTGCTTTAAGTAATGACCTTTTTCAAACTTGTCAAGTCTCTGAAGAAGATGGGCGAGGAGAACCTGCAATGGACAGCAGCCAGGTGGTACTTTGTTTTGCTCATTTTTCTTCCAAACCTCCAAGTAAAAACCTTAGCTTGAAAAAGAAAATGATCTTAGGTTGTGCACCTAGGAATTTTGCTTAGGTGAAGTTAAAGTCCTTGCCGTGAAACCCTGCGCCCTGTATCAGAGCACCCACCTCCAGTACAGGCCCGGCTCCTGGCTCTAGCTTCACGTCAGTCAGGCCCCTGGAGGCAGTGGTGACAACCATGCTCGTTGGAGAAAGCGGTTGAGTTGCTTTCTACAACTTTTGGTTTTGCACTCTCCAGGCCATTCTGGGCATCTGGGAAGTGAACTAGTAGGTGGAACTTCTCTTGTTTTTCAGTGTGTATCTTACAATCATCATCATCATCATCATCATAATGATCCAAACCATAATAATATATTTCCTTGATCCTCAGGATTTGTCAAATTTATTTAAAATAAATTAATTTTTGTCCAAAATGACTTTAAAAACGGCATGTTCAGGTTAATTAACAATTGTATTTACTTGTCAAATATTGTATTTTTAGTAAAGAGGTTATTAATATGATTCAAATATTTTTAATACTTTAAATTTATAGAGAATGGATAAATATTACAGGGGAAATTTATAAACAGTTTAGTATGGTTGTATGGTTTTATAAATAAAATTCCTTATGTAGAACAAAGCAACTGCAATTTTAAATTGACAGTGATTGGAGTTTTGAATGGAATAAAAAATCGTTTTTAGATTTTTTGCATAAATTCTTAAACTGCAGAAGTATCTGAAGAAAATTGTCATAAAATTATTGCTGTTGACTTAGTGATGCTCAGTTTCACGTGTTGGATACCTTCACACTTACTTTTCTTTTTCCTATTTCCTGTGCAGATTGTGAGCAGGCTAATTCAAATCCGTGACTATATTACTAAAGCTAGTTCCATGCGGGAAGATCTCGTGGAGAAAAATGAAAGATCTGCTAATGTTGAACGCCTTACTCATCTGATAGAGCACCTTAAAGAACAGGAAAAGTCATATATGAAATTTCTCCAAAAAATCCTGGTAAGTTTTGGCCCTTTGTGATATAAGCAGATATTTTTAGTGGTATTTCAACATACATATCCTGATGACATTATAATGCCACTGCAGAGGCATTAGTTATTTTTTTGAAGTGCCATCCGTTTTAACATTGTATTGCACTTTTTAATAGTTGTGTGATTTATACCACTACAGTATTTCAGGCTTGAGAAAATGAGGAGGAGGATGTTTGGACTGTAGATTGAGCTGTGGGATCTGGTTCTGTAGTTGAGAGCACATCACTAAACGTAGATGTGCAGTCTGAGGCTTCATATACCATGGTAAGCAGCTTCTTGATAACTAAAGTGCTAGAAACGAAGAGTAAACTTCCTTACCCTTTTCTTTTTTTTCTTTTTAAGATTTATTTATTTTTATTGGAAAATCAGATACACATAGAGGAGGAGAGACAGAGAGGAACATCTTCCGTCCAATGATTCACACTCCCCAAGTGACCACAACGGCCGGTGGTGCGTCAGTCCGAAGCCAGAAGGCTTTGGGCCATCCTCGACTGCCTTCCCAGGCCACAAACGGGAAGCTGGATGGGTAGTGAAGCTGCCGGGATTAGAACCAGCGCCATATGGGATCCCAGTGTGTTCAGGGTGAGGACTTTAGCCGCTAGGCCATGGCGCTGGGCCCTCCTCCCCCTTTTCAAGATGATGTCTTATAGGCATTCTTTACTGAAAAGGAAATTCAAGAAAATAAGCCTTCAAATTGTTAATGCTGAATGCAATTTTTAGGCATCAAAATTGATGAGATTTATTAACCTTAAAAATAGCTCTATTAGTTTGAATATCTAGTGATTGTTTCTCTTCAGTATACACAGACATTGTTTTTCTAGTGTGTTTGTTTACACACAGCTTTACTAATTTTAATAAGCATTAGGAAAATATAAATTCATCCTGAACATAATAAGGGCTACAAGTACAGAGTACAAGTATCATTAGTGGTTACTTGTCGTCTGTTGGAAAAGTCTCCATATTCATTTGCTGCTAGAGCCAATTTTAAGGGTCATGAGATTTGCCATTTCTCAGGCTTTACTGTCTGGTTTTACCAGAGGACTGAAGAGATGAGGTAAAGACTAGCAAGTGAAACAGGATGGTGTTTACATTATGATGTATTCTCAGAAAAATAAAAACTGACTGCAAGTTCAAAGTTAACAAAATACTGTCCTTTACAAACATAATTAGGAATTCAGAACTTTGAGTAAAGATTTCTATAACAAATTTAATTCATAGAACTTAGTATGCTTTAAATGCAAGTGGTTTTTTTCCCCTGTAATTGATTGATTAGAAAAGCAGAGACAGAAAGAGATCTTCCTGTCTGCTCGTTCACTGACCAGTGGCTTCAACACCCAGGTCTAGGCCAGACTGAACCCAGCAATCTGGAACACCGTCATCTTCCTGTTCTTCCACCTGGCTATTAGGTGCCTAAGTATTTGGCACTCCTTTCTCAGGTGTGTTAGCAGGGAGGCAGATAAAAAGTCAAGGAGCCACTGTTGAAGCTGGCACTCCAGTATGGGATGCCAGAGTGGCTACCGCTTAATTCATTGTGCTACTGTGCAGGCCCTTAACGTGGCTTTCTTAAAAGCTTTTTACCATGCCTTAGTTAACTTGAAAATCTGTTGCCAATAAAACTTTTCTTTTGAAAGGGTAGCCATATGTCTTTTATGTCTTTTATTTTAGAAGTATGTCCCCAAACACCATTCAGCATTAGAAATTGGAAGGTTTATTTCCTCTCAGCATTACCTACGTTGTTTCTTATTCACCTTCTTTTTCTTCTTTGCCCTTTTTAATTAGAAGAGGAGAATTGAATTTTTCTTTTTGTCTCAGCATTATTTCCACCAGGAGATTCATAGAGGGCTTGATTCAAGTGGTTGTTGAATGAAAAGTAGATTCTGTTGTGGGTATGCGGAGAAGATAGTTTTTATTTCCACTGATGCTGGGAATAAATTCTTCCTTAACATTCCAATGAAAATGGAAAAGTTGGACAGTATGGTAAAGGAATTCTGTTGGGAGGAGGTGAGAAATTATATGATTGTGTATTGTAATTTATATACTAGCATCTAGGTGTTCACCGTGATGAGAGTGTCTTCCGTGATAACAAAATTATGATGCCATGAAATTTGATTAATAATCTATGGTACAGTATATGTTAAATATTAATTGATAAGTAGCTTGGAAATTGCCTAGAATGTGATACTTGCTTAATTGTAGTAAATAAGTCTAGAAAACTCTATAGATTAGTTTTATAGAAAATTAGAAGTCTAATTTAAAGTGTACTATTATGTGTAGGGTTAAGTCTTTTAAGAAATAATGGATTGGGAAGTATTTATTCACAGGGTTGGCTTGTATGTCGCACAGGAATTTGTGTTAAGAAATTAATATGCTACGCTATTTAATAAAAGGCATCTTTTAGTCTTGAGAATTCGGTTGTGCATAGGGGACAGACTAGGGAACTCACAAGGACAGGTTTCAGCTATTGACGTTACTCCAAGTCCAAAAGGAAAGGTGGCAGACCTCCTCAGAGTGGTAGGGCGCAGAGGCCTGATGGGCATGGCCGAAAATGGGGCTGGCCTCACAGGTATACTTCACACTGTTAACTCAGGAAGTCTTCCAATGACTACCTGTTTTGTTCTTATTTCACCTTCCTTTCCTGTTTCTGCTATTAATCTTGGATATACGATTATTAATATGGCTACTAATATACTATTATATTCTGTGGTCATGTTTTAAAGCAAAAGAAAACAGACTAAGTCGTTGGATTGCCTAACTTTGTAAGAATGGTAAATTTTTTTTAAGGATTTATTTATGTATTTGAAGGGTGAGTTACAGAGAGAAAAAGAGAAGGAGAGATAGGGAGAGATCTTCCATCCGCTGGTTCACTTATCAATTTGCTGCTTATAGCCAATTCTTGTCCAGGCCAAAGCCAGGAGCCCAGATCTGCTTCTTCTCAGTCTCCCATGTAATTGTAGGCGCCCAAGCATTTGGACTGATTTTAACTTCTTTCCCCAGAGCATTGGCAGAGAACTGATCCAGAGTTGGTGATTGTTGAGTCCCAAGAACTTGGGCCAAATTCCGCTGGTTTAGCAGGAGCATTACATTAGCAGGGAACTGAATCCAAAGTTGAATAGCTGGTACTCAAACTGGCGCTCATGTTGGATTCCGATAGGCAACAGTGGCCATGTATCTATTTTTTGGCTAATGATTTTGTTGCTGTTGGAAACCCCTTCTTTTTATTCAGTTGTTTGCATTTGGCTTGTTTACTAATATTTTTCTGCTTTTCCTGTAATTTTTAATTGTTTTGTTTCAGTGTTCCCAAATTTCCCTAAATGTGTTCTACATAGGTTTCAAAAAAACTGTACAGCTCTACTCAAAACAGATTGAGAGGGGTTGGTGTGCAGGCTCACTTGGCGAATTCTCTGCCTGTAAGTGCCAGCATCCCATATGGGTGCTGGATTGTGTCCCAACTGCTCTATTTCCCATCCGCCTCCTTGTTTATGGCCTGGGAATGCATTAAAGAATGGCCCAAAGCCTTGGGACCCTGCACTGGCATGGGAGACCTGGAAGAAGCTCCTGGCTTTGGATCAGCTCAGCCCTGGCCATTGTGTTCATTTGGGGAGTGAGCCAGCAGATGGAAGCTCTTTATTTTTCTTCTTCTCTGTGTAAATCTGCCTTTCCAATAAAAATAAATAGTTTAAAAAACAATTTGAGTAAAAAGTATTTTTCAGAAGTGTTTTTATTTTTTGGCAAGAGCAAACTAGTATTTTTATAATTGTGTAAAAGACTGATTTTTTTGTTAGTTCATTATACAGGATTTTCCTTTCTGTGTTGTAGATATTTTGTTTCCTTTTAGTGTCTTTTTAAAATTGATGAAAATTGTCTTTTTTTTTGTCAGGTTTTTTTGTTTTGTTTTGTGGCTCTCACAAGTATTCAAGGTTATTATATGAGATCGATTAATGGGATCCTCTTAAATGAAGTATTCAGGAATCTTATAAAGTGTTCTGCAGAAATATGCCATAGTTTAATACAAGTGTTTAGTAGCTGATTGGTTTAAAATTGAAGATGAGGATATGAGACATAGATGTCTTTTAGAATTTTCTGTTCTTTTTGCACTTCTGAAAATTTATAAACAAAACTTTATGGTTATCTACAGCATAGTTTCTGTTACCTTTGCTCTTTTCCCAAAGTGCTGTTTTATTTTAAAAACATCTTTCTGTTTTTAAGTGTCTGAAAAATATCCTTCTAAAAGTGTTAGTCTCCCTTGAATTTGCTTATGAGTTTATTCTAATTTGACTCTTGATTTTTAAGGCCTTCCCAGTGTGATTTTATTAGAATAAATAAATTACTACATAGAATTACTTCAATTTCTTAGAAAGCAATATTTTTACTTTTATCATCTGCGTTTGCATTTTTATACTGTGTTGACTCTTACTTTAACCAAAACGTCCCCTTACCTCCTAAGAATCTGTAAAACTGTGGAATGTAGTTAGACAGTAGGGAAACAATGCGTTGAATTCATACCTGAGAATCAAAGCTGAAAGCAGCCTTGTTGAGCTGCATCTAGTTTGATATGCTAGAGCTACCCACAAGGGCGGATTGCAGTTTTGAGGGTATTTTATCGATAAAATGATGTTTTTAATAATTTTACAAAAGAAACGTATAGGTACCCATGCCTTCATTGTTTTTCCACACACACTCCCTACCTTATCTAAACTTTTTTTCTTTCTTTTTTTTTTCCCCCAAGATTTATTTATTTATTAGAAAGATAGCTACAGATGGAGGGAGAGAAAGAAATTGTCTATCCTCTTGTTCATTCCCCATTAACTTAATCAACTAGGGTTGCCCCTGAACCAGACAGAAGCTTAGAAGACAGGCAGCTTCCTCTGGGTGTTCCATGTGGGTGCAGAGTCCCAAGGCTTTGGGCCATCTTCTACTGCCGTCACAGTCCCCACGCAGGGAGCTGGATGGGAAATGGAGTAGCCAGGATATGAACTGGTGTCCATATTGGATCTTGGAGCTTGCAAGGCAAGAATTTAGCCAGTGAGCCACTGTGCTGGGCCCTCTGTTTGTATTTCTGATCTATACACAATCTCCTTGTCATTTTCCCACTCTTAATTATTTTTGATTTTTTATCTTCTCTGTGGTGGCTTTTCCCTTACTTGGCTTACCTTCGTAAATATCATTCTGAAAATATGTGGATGCAAGTTAAGTGAAATAAAAAAATGTTGTGAATTCATCTTTGGATTAATGAAGCATCTGAAGATAATTGTACTTTAACAAATAACTTAGGATTCTTTATTGAAATATCACTGTTTTACAAATCAGTGCCAACAAAAATTATAAACATTCTTTGTGAGTTCACATATTAAAGAGTAAAACTGTGTTATATTGATAAACTACTTAAAATTAGATAGTTTCACGGTAACTGAGGCTAATCTATTTGAAAGAGGTGAGAAGATGCTATATTAGGGGAAATATGCAGTCAGAAAATTTTCTCCCCCAATAATTTTTTTTACTTGCATAATGTTTATTCTAATTAATTGCTGTTTATACTTTACAAGGGAATATTTGGTGATTGACATCAACCTGAAGAGTCTTTTCTGAATTATTCCATTGAGATTAATCTAGTTTTACAATTTTACCAAATATTGATAAAATTATTATGAAGCTAGTTTGGGTCTCATCTGTGAGGTTGACTATTGATAATTATCCCTAATGCTTCCATTTTTCATGATATAGTCTTGAAATAAGTCAGCATCGAGATGATGAATTTTGAGAGGCATGAGTGTAAGTGTTAACAAGGCAACTCCATTTATATGAGTAAACAGTAGTTAAATTGAAACTGGGTTTTAGTTTGTTAGCAATTCAGAACAATACAAAGCCTTCAATAAGTGGGTACATAAAGTTACAGATTACTGCTTTTCCGTACTTAAAGTTTTAAGGTAGCTCAGATCAGACAGGTCACTGGTCATGCTCTTCTGATTCCTGGTGTAACCTGCTACCTACTAGATCTTAACTTTCTCTGCGTACTTAACCATACCAAGCACTTTGTTTTTCACTTACTAGTCTTATTACAGTCCAGGTGGCACTGTGAAATTCTATCACAGTTCCTCATTTGTATCTATTACACTGATGATCTCTACTTGGGAAAGTAAAGAGAAGAGGTTTTTACACAGTACTTTAAGGGACACCATCAGAGTTTTTCAGTGTTCTCCCTTATTTTTCTAGGCATCAGATTTGCATGGAGGAAATAGATTACTAGTCATGTGTCTACTTTCAAAATACACCATAATTTAGATCATTCATGTAAAACTTATTAAAATGTGTTAACTGCAAAATGAAAATTGACTAATTGCAACAAAGGGAAATATTTTATATGAATATTTGATGAAAGCATTGAACTTTTACAGTGATTTTTTAAGAGTAAATTGGTGACAAAAAATAGCATTGTGTAATACATTTTCATGTATAATTTGGATATAGTCTGCTGTTTCTGAGCTATATTTAGCTTTCTTTATTTTTCTTATTGGCTTATTAAATTTTGTATGGTTTTAAGATTAGCATCTAAAACTTGTTCATTTCATAGAATTATTATCTAGCATTACATTCCTTTACTTTTAGGTAAGATGATAACCCAGCATTTTGGAAGAATTTGGAAATATTCTATAATAAGTCCTCAGACCTCGCTAACTAGACCTAATCTGAAAAGAAATATAATTGTGATATCTTTTATACAAAATACAAAATGATAAAGATGCAACTAAAATTTTATGTGAATTACCTTTTACATAAAATTATCAAATAATGTAATTCCTGTCTTGATTAGAAATTTGTAAATTTGCTTTGTTGGATTTTTTTTTATTGTCACTGCTGTTCTGGTGTGTTAGATCATTAACTCAGTAAAATCTGTTCCCATTCCTCTTTTGCGTTGTGTATGTAGTTCCTTACACTCTTACAGCCTTCCTGTCTAATGTCGTTTTCTTTCCTTTTATTAATTTTTCTACATGTAAGGTCATTGCTTATGATATTTTACTGTGAAGTTTACCATCACTGGCTTATATCTTCATTCTATTCTGCTAAAATTTATCTAGGGTTGTGCATTTAATGTTGCTTTATTAATCTGGTTTAAATTTGCCATCAATAGTTGAAATAGGAACATGAGTATAGTAGTTAGATGTAAGTACTGTTGTTGGTTTTACTTTCTAGGCCAGAGATCCTCAGCGGGAACCTATAGAAGAGATAGAAAATTTGAAAAAACAACATGATTTATTAAAAAGGATGTTACAGCAGCAGGAACAACTGAGAGCTCTGCAGGGACGACAGGCTGCTCTTCTAGCTCTGCAGCATAAAGCAGAGCAGGCCATTGCTGTGATGGACGATTCTGGTATGCCTCAGTCCCAGAATGTTATGCTAATAAACAGGGTTCAGCAAATAATTGTATTGCGAAGTGGATGCCAGTTACTTTGAAATCTATGCATTATAGACAACAAATTTACCCACTACACCAGCCTCCTCATTATTTTAAAACCAAGATATTGTTATGTATGACAAATCACCAAGACTAAGTTTTCTTTTTCATTTACGCTTTATTTTTATTGACAGGTCATTAAATCTATTGAGCACAAGTGAGAAGCCTTCGTAACTCACCCTTCCATTAGCTAAACCACATTTTTTTTAGCCAGCTATCCCTATCACTCTAATAATCATGATTTGCTTTTCCCAGTGAGTTGAGTTTCTGACTCAGGCTGCTTGCCGTTATTACTTAATTTTTCTTGCTGTCCAAATCTAGCCCACTTATTCATCTGTCTGATAATTGTTATTTCTAATTTATTTTTGAATTTTCAAAAGAAACTTGATGGCTTTTTGTGGAGCCTAATTTTTTTTTTATAACTTTATAGTTACATATAGTAATAATTAGGAATTTTGTTCCTGTTTTTTCTTTCTAAGACCCAATGTATCAGTCATTTTTATATTTTGGAAATAGGTAATTTAGAGATCATATATATTTTTAAAGATTTATTTATTTTTATTGGAAAGGCAGACTTACAGAGAGAAGAAGAGAAAAAGATCTACATCCGCAGGTTCATTCTCCAGGTGGCTGCAACGGTCAGAGTTGAGCCAGTCCAAAGCCAGGAGCCGGGAGCGATGGATCATCCTCCACTGCTCTCCCAGGCCACAGACAGCCGGATGGGAAGTGGAACAGCCAGGACTCGAACTGGTACCCATGTGGGATCCCAGTGCTTACAAGGCAAAGATTTAGCCACTGAATCTTTGTGCCAGACCTGAACTTTTTTTTTTTTCTTTTGTTAAAGAGGCAGAAAGAAAACTCCCATCCATTTGTTTTCTCCCCAGATACCTTAAGTTGGGCTAAAGCCAAGAACTGGAAACTTAATCCAGTCTTCCATGTGAGTGGCATGGACAAACACTTGAGCCATCCCATGTACCTCCCCAGATCTCTGTTAGTGAGAAACTGAAGCTGGAAACCAAGCTGAGGTACTTCAGTGTGAGATTCTTGAACACTGGGCCAAATGCTCACTCCGAAGTACATTTGTTTTAAATTGGTGATTTGCAAGGTTGAAAGCGATGAGCAGGTTTATTCCTCAAATAGCTGCAATAGCCAGAGCTTCGCTACTGTGAACTGGGAGCCAGGAACTCCATCCCGATCTCCCATTGAGTGGCAGTAACTGAAGTACTTGAGCTGTCATTCCCAGGCACATTAGCTGGGAGCTGGCTCAGAAGTGGGAGTATCCTTGCTTTGAGTTGGATGGAGGGATGCTGGTATCCTAAGCAGTGGCTTAACCTGCCGTACCATAATTTTGGCGCCAAGGTATATTTTTATTTTTAAAGATATATGTATTTTATTACAAAGCCAGATATACAGAGAGATGAGACAGAGAAGATCTTCCATCCAGTGATTCACTCCCCAAGTGGCCACAATAGCCAGAGTTAAGCAGATCCAAAGCCAGGAGCCAGGGACAACTTCTGGGTCTCCCACACAGATGCAGGGTCCCAAGGCTTTGGGCTGTGCTCCACTTCCTTCTCAGGCCACAAGCAGGGAGCTGGTTGGGAAGCAGAGCTGCTGGGATTAGAACCGGCGCCCATATGGGATCCTGGTGCATTCAAGGCAAGGACTTGAGCTGCTAGGCTACTGCACTAGGCTCCCAAAGGTGTATTTTAATGTACAGGCTAATACTGGTTCAAAGACTAACCTTTTAAATATTTTTCAAGTGAGGCATTAAAACTTGTAAGAATTTCCTTTGATTGTTATAATAATCATGAATATTTATATTCTTATGTGATCATAGACTTGTAGATTGGTAGTCAAAGCTTTTATTTTTATGCACATATTCTAGAGAAGGTAGTTTCTAGGCTTTTATGAAATGTTAGTGCAAACAAAACTCTTGAGTTCTAGGTCATGAGTTTCTGTTTCTGAATATGAGCTTTGTTTTGTCAGGTGGTTTGTTCTAATAAAATATACTGTCATGGGTCAAAGGGGCCAAGATTAGAGTCAGCAGGAATTTGAAATTTAAGTTCATTTTGTATTTCAAAAAAATTTTGCTTAGTGATTTGGTTCTGGGTACTTTGATAGAGGGTGTGGCAGTCCTAAGTGGATTTTTAGTTTGCTATACCAAGCACCCACTCAGCGATTCACTATTTTTAATTGGGGATATAAAAATATCTCCTTGAATGTTGGGACAGAAAAAGATGGGCTTCAGTACTGAAATCTTAGGATAATCCCTTTATTTGTAAGATAGGTGGAATAGTCTAATGAGATGATTTATGGTGGTTAAATAAGTATGTTAGGTGAGGTTTTAACTTTTTTCATAATCAAGCTTTACAAAAATTGTAAAAGATTTTTTAATAAGAAGCTGTTTAATTTTCTTTCAGTTGTTGCAGAAACTACAGGTAGTTTGTCTGGAGTCAGTATCACGTCTGAGCTAAATGAAGAATTGAATGATTTAATTCAACGTTTTCATAATCAGCTTCGTGATGGTCAGGTAATGCACTTTTTTTTAAAAGTTTTTTTTTTTAAGATTTATTTTATTTATTGGAAAGTCAGATATACAGAGAGGAGGAGAGACAGAGAGGAATATCTTCTGTCCGATGATTCACTCCCCAAGTGAGTGCAATGGCCGATGCTATGCCGATCCGAAGCCAGGAGCCAGGAACTTCTTCCTGGTATCCCACATGGGTGCAGGGTCCCAAAGCTTTGGGCAATCCTCGACTACTTTCCCAGGCCACAAGCAGGGAGCTGGATGGGAAGTGGAGCTGCCAGGATTAGAACCAGCTCCGTATGGGATGCCGGGGCATTCAAGGCGAGGACTTTAGCCACTAGGCCACGCCGCCGGGCCCGGTTATGCACTTTTCTAAAGGCTGGTTGAATTTAAAATAGCATTCATTAGAATAGTGGCTCTCAAACATTAACATAAATATCATTTAGCAGGATCATTGTAGGCTCTTGATTGGTAGAGTTTCCCACACCTCCAAAGTTAAGGTTTGTAGATGAGCTGTAAGCTTCTCCCTGTGTGATTCCAGTGCTGATTGCTGGGGAGCCCTCACTCTGACACTAAATTAGAAGGGAATCTACTTTAAAAAAATGGTAACTTTTCTTTGTGCATGTTTCTGGACAGCATATTGTTTTTCCCACTAGAAGACAAAGGTCTGTTGATTACAATCTGTAAGACTTGCATAATATATGTCCTTGAAGTATTTTACAAATAACTAGGAAAATACTAAAGTTTAATTTGAGAGCCGATAAGCGTTGTGATTTGATGAGCTTTGTAAATAATGATACAACTGTGAATTTTAAGAATGTGGACCTTAGAGTCAATTACTGCTTTTCCACTGAAATGTGTGTAATTGAATATGCATTGTCCTCCTTATACAAACCAGAAATGTGATCCAGTCTCCTTGAAGAGATATTTAGCAATGTCTAGGAAATATTTTCTAGTTATTCTGCTAGTTACACTGGGGAAAGTCACATGTGTTCAGAAGGAGTTGGGAATATGAAGTTTCATTTCAGTGTTGTGTTAACCAAAAGTAACCATAGTACCCATGAATAGAAGAACAGATTTGTAAATTATGATGCCCATGTACATAGAATGACATTCTGTATGGCAGTTATTATAAATGAACCAAGAACTAATGAATGAAAAATTAGAAGTGTAAAATATGTTACCACTCTATGTTGAGAAATATGTTAGGAATGCACATTTGAGTATATACAGAGGTATTACAAAATTAAACATAATGTAAATGGTAAGTACATATATATTTAGTATATATGTGTATACATATATACATATATACACATATATACATATATTTGTGTGTGTGTATATATATATAAAGATTTATTTTTATTTGAAAGGCAGAGTTATATAGAGAAGAAGAGACAGAAAGGGATCTCCCATTTACTGGCTCACTCCCCACATGGCCATAGTGGCTAGAACTCGTCTGATGTAGAAGCCAGGGCATGAACCAATAGCGCAGTGTGATCCCAGTGCCCTGGCAGAAGCTTAGCTTACTATTGCCACAGTACTACCCCTTTAAAAAAATTGACGGATTTTTGCGAAAATGTTTAAATTTTCCCAAGCACAATGGGAGGTATCGATTGTATGATCCCTTAAACCTCAATAGCTTCTTGTGACATTTCAAAATTTGTTGTGTTTTTAAATAGAAGACCATACACATGGTCTGCTACCAAAAAAAAATCTAGGAAAATAAAGTTTATGATGGTGGTCTAGAAAGATAGCAAGAGAGAAAATGAGAGCTTCAGAAGTTTAATCTGCATAACCCATGGCATTATTAGCACTTCATTTGGTTCTGGGAAATGCTAGATATGCAGTGAATCCAAAGAACATGATCTTCAGAAAGATCACGAGAAGCAGGTGTTATCTTTTAATTCCGTTTGTCCACAAACTTTCAGAAATTCCCTCATATATGTTTGTAGTGGTGTATCAGAAAGCCAAGGCAAATATTCTCTTTATTTTAAAAAAAATGCTTATGTGAGTCAGTGTGGTGGCTCAGCAAACTAATCTGCCTTTCAGCACTGGCATCCCATATGGGTGCCACTTGTCCTGGCTGTTCCACTTCCTATCTCATTCCCTGTTTATGGGCTGGAAAAGCAGTGGCAGATGGCCCAGTCTTTGGGCCTCTGCATTCATGTGGGAGACCCAGACAAGTGCCTTGGCTCCTTGCTTCAGATTGATTCTGCTCTTGCAGTTCTGGCTATTTGGGGAGTGAACCAGCAGATAGAAGCTGTTTCTCTGTCTCCTCTTCTTTGTAAATCTTTTCAAGTAAAAAATAGATTAACAAATTATATATATTTCTGAACTGAGAATATAAATGCTTAAACTTTAATTTTGATTTTTTAATTCTTTAATTTTAATTTGTCTTCTTTATTTTCTGAAAACAAGCCTCCAGCTGTTCCGGACAACAGACGACAAGCAGAAAGCCTGTCGTTAACTAGAGAGGTTTCCCAAAGTAGGAATCCATCCGTTTCAGAACATTTACCAGAGGAGAAGGTCCAACTTTTTAGCAAAATGAGAGTGCTACAGGAAAAAAAACAAAAGATGGACAGATTGCTTGGAGAACTTCATACACTTCGAGATCAGCATCTAAACAATTCATCATGTAAGTAAATATTCTTTAGAAGTATTAGGGGATGTGAAGTATGTAGGACTTCAATATGCACCAAGAATTGGTCCCCAGGTCTTCCATGGATAATAAAATCCCCAAATGTTCCAGTGTGTTACGTGAAATGCTATAGTATTTTCACAGAACCTATACCTGTCTTCTCTTCCTCTTAAAATAAGCTATAGATTACTTAAAATATTTAGTACAGTGTCTATACTTCACTTCATTCGTGTGGGTTGGGCATGGTAGTCATTATGTGGCAAATTGAGGTTTGTTTCTTGGAACTTTCTAGAATTGTTTTAGAAACTACTTTTTAAAAAGGGGTTATTTGGAAGTCAAGAATTACAGGGGGAGAGGGAGATGGAGAGTAATGCTGATACTCTGCTTTGTTTCCTGGAACATTGAAAGGACAAGCATAGTTCCCTGGTGGTCTGTAGGTGGAACCACTCCAGGACACACAGTTATCTAGAAATATCCTGTATAAATTTGTCCATTGTTGACACTGCACATATTTACCCCATTTAACTTATCCCAGTACCAAGTATATTGTAGAGTATTTGCATTTCCAGTGGATAGTACAAATTTAGATTGATGTCTGTCTTCTCTATTTCTATTCTCTTTTTACCCATTTACACATATAAATTCTGCCTTGAGTAAAAATGAGAAAAATCCCTAAAAGAAAGAAGTAAAAATATGTTTTCTGTATGTCTTTTGATATGTTCAAAACAAGTGCTTGGGTGTACCATATCTAAAATTGCAACATAGAGATTTTAAGATGTTAATGACTTTTACCAAGCATACTGTGAATAAGTGTTTCTTGTTGTCATGGTTGCTTATTTATGCTTATTTATGTATGTATGTATTTATTTATTGTAGTTGTGCCTTCTTCAGCATCTCAGAGGAATGGGGACCAGAGAGGTACAACTTCGGCTTCCTCAGCTCCTGCAGGCGGAGCACCGGTTGTCAATGGAGAATCCAATAGTCTTACACCATCTGTTCCTTATCCTGCTGCTTCTCTGGTTTCTCAAAATGAGAGTGAAAATGATGGCCATCTAAATCCAACGGAAAAACTCCAGTAAAATATTTACTTTTTTAGTTCTTATAGATTGGAAATAAATAACGGGGATAATTGGTGTGATTTCTTATGTGTTGAAAATTCTTGGAAAACAATGCTTTAATGATAAATATGCTTAATTGATGTGTATTCCTTGAGATTTTGAAGAGAAATGTGACATAACAGGTAATTTCTGTGAATTTTTTTTTAAGATTTATTTTTTATTTTTATTGCAAAGTCAGATATACAGAGAGAAGAAGAGACAGAGAGGAAAATCTTCCATCCAATGATTCACTCCCCAAGCAGCCACACCGTCCCATGCTGCGCCAATCCAAAGCCAGGAGCCAGGAGCTTTTCTGGGTATCCCACATGGGTGCAGGGTGCCAAGGCTTTGGGCCATCCTCGACTGCTTTCCCAGGCCACAAACAGGGAGCTGGATGGAAAGCGGGACTGCCAGAATTAGAACTGGTGCCCATATGAGATCCTGGTGCATTCAAGGTGAGGACTTTTAGCTGCTAGGCCAATGCACCAGGCCCAAATTTCTGTGAATTTTGAAGTTAACTTTTTTAAAGGACATATTTGTATATCTATTTGAAAGGCAAAATTACAAAGAGAAGGGGAAGGAGTGTTTGGCCCAGTGACATGACAGGCTAATCTTCCAGCCTGAGACACCAGCATCCCATACAGACGCTGGTCTGTGTCCCAGCTGCTCTGCTTCCAATCCAGCGCTCTATTATTGGCCTAGGAGGGCAGTATAGGATGGCTTAAGTTCTTGGGATTCTGCACCCACGTGGATGACCCAGAGAAGGGTCTTGGCTATTAGATAACTCAGCTCTGACCATTGCAGCCATTTGGAAAGTGAACCAGTGGATGGAAGACCTCTCTACCTGTGTTTCTCTGTAAAAATCTGCCTTTCAAATAAAAATAAATACATTTCTGAAAAAAGGAGAGAGAGATTCCCTCTTCCCTGGTTTACTTCTTACGGAGGCAGGAACCAGGAGCTTCTTCTAGATCTCCCTCCTGGATTCAGGGTCCACTCATTCAGGGCCGTCTGCTGCTGCTTTCACGGGCACTTAGCAGGAAGCATGATTAGAAATGGAGCAGGCAGGACTCAGAACTGGCACCCACATGGGATGTGGGATGCTGTCACCACAGACCCACTAAACCACAGTGCCAGCCCCTCTTGTCTTTCAAATACTTTGAAAAATAACCAGGACTAGTTAAAATATTTATGTATTCAAGAGATTAGAACTCTGGGTCAGGGGTGGGAACTTTTATTCTACTATCCAAGGCCCTTTTGGATATTTATACCATCATTCACAGATCATAAAAATTTGTCAATTTAAAGTTACCTTGCTATAGATTTATTGAATTTTGTGTCCTGCCTATGGTTGCCTTGGCTGGGCCTGACCAAATGATTTTCAAGTCTTTATACAGCTTGTGGGCCAGGTTAATTCTCTCTCCTTGTTCTGTAGGAGTGCTGAACAAATAGCTTACCCTTACTAAGCCTGCCTTTCCTTATCTACGAAACATGCCTAATAAATAAAATTTTAATTAGTAGGATAACCAGTTTGCAAAGGTTTATAAAGATTAAAAACCAGTAGCATGATTCCTGGTTCTTGGTCAAAACAAACTTGGGGTGCACATTTATTCTAACAATTACGACACTTAGGATGCCCTCACCCCATATCTTAGATTATGGATTCAAGTCCCAGTTCTGTTGATAATTCTAGCTTCCCTGGTCACCCTGGAAGGCAGCAATTGACTGGTCAATGGTTGGGTCCCTGCTAGCCATGTGGCTGGCATGCCTTGAGTTCCTGATGCCCAGCTTCAGCCTGGCTCATCCCCACCATTGCAGGCTTCAGGACACCAGACCAACAGGAGCTTTCTCTGTCTGAGATAAATAAAGGTAGTAAATTGTTTACTAGTCTTGTGAGGGAGACTCAAAGAAGTGTCCTTTTCTCTTGGGTGTCACAAAGCCGGTAATGAAGATAAAATTTAGTGTAAGGAGCACAAGTTTGTTTTCTTTTCCAGTAGCCAAACAGTAGAAAATCAGGAATTTAGCTCTCAGGTTATCTTAATCTGTCGGGGTCTGAGGAGTCCTGGGTAGAGGGCAGTATAACACTAGGAGGAGGAATAGTCAAAGTTGTTCTGGAAAAAGAATGGTACAGTTCTGCAATTGGGAGCCACCTTCTTTTTGTCTATTTGTGAGCTCTTTGGGCTGTCATCATACTAGTTGTTAACTGTCATGGCATTGGTGGGAGTGTCTGCATGGGATTTGGATTATAATCAAGTTTGATGTTTTCTGGCAGTTGTTCAGGCCATGTTGGGTTTAACTGGTTCTGACCAGTTGGTAAGCCTGAGGAACTAATCACGAGAGAATAGAAACTTGGCCACACAGGCACTTCCCTAGGTAACATGTGTAAATAAATATTAATAAAACTCAACATACTTGCTACTTCTGGTAAAGATCTTTTAGAGCCTTATACATACAGATTGAAACCATTTGTAAATGTTCAATAGTGTATACATAACTGTTTTGCCTGAGAAGTAGTGTTTATTTATTACTTCAGTTTGAAAGAAACTTAGAAATATTTTGACATTAAATTTTCTGCTGGGCCTGGCACATTGGCCTGGTGGCTAAAGTCCCTTGCCTTGCACATGCCGGGATCCCATATGGGCACCAGTTCTAATCCCAGCAGCCCCACTTCCCATACAGCTCCCTGCTTGTGGCCTGGGAAAGCAATCAAAGCCTTGGGACCCTGCACCCACATGGGGGACCTGGAGGAAGTTCCTGGCTCCTGGCTTTGGATTGGTGCAGCACTGGCTGTTGAGGTCACCCAGGGAGTGAATCAATAGATGGAGATCTTCATCTCTGTCTCTCCTCCTCTCTGTATATCTGACTTTGCAGTAAAAATAAATAAATCTTTAAAACTAACATTTTCATGTGCTTAAAATAAACAATCATAATGAATATTTTTATGCTTTTACATTAAAAATTAGAAAATAAAATGGTGATGGGGCCTAGTGGCTAAAGTCCTCACCTTACACACCGGAATCCCATATGGGCACCGGTTTGTGTCCTGGTTGCCCCGCTTCCTATCCAGCCCCCTGCTTGTGGCCTGGGAAAACAGTTGAGGACGGACCAAACCTTGGGACCCTGCACCAGCATGGGAGACCCAGAAGAGCTCCTGGCTCCTGGCTTTGGATGGCTTAGGCTGCAGCCGTTGTGGCTGCTTGAGGAATGAACCAGCAGATGGAAGGTCTTTCTGCATGTCTTCTTCTTTCTGTGTATCTATCTGTCTTTCCAAAAAATAAATTAAAAAATACATTTTTTTTTTTGAGTAAGAAATACTTGAAACTGAACTCACTGCTTTACAGATGATGTCTTGAAAATTTGGGTACATCTAAGCTTTGTACTGGGTGCTATTATGAAAATAGTGTGCTTTAGTTTGCTAATATGAGTTTTATATGTTTTTTATCAGGAAGTTAAATGAAGTTCGAAAGAGACTGAATGAGCTAAGAGAATTAGTTCATTATTATGAACAAACATCAGATATGATGACAGATGCTGTAAACGAAAACACAAAAGACGAAGAAACTGAAGAATCAGAATATGATTCTGAGCATGAAAATTCAGAACCTGTTACTAACATTCGGTGAGAACTTTTTTTTTGTTATTTGCAGTATCTTTATCCAAAAGTGGGAGAAAAATACCTTCATGCAGTAATTATTATTTGCTTTTTCTATTTTTCAGCTTTTATCTGTTAGCTTGATCCTTTGGTCAGTGTTTTCAACTTTGCTAAAGAAAAGCAGGAAGATACTGAGTATAGTCTAGTTAGTAAGTCTGCTGTTAGTCTATACACAAGTAAACAATAAGTGTTTAACTTCACATTTTCTTACAGTATTTTTGATGTAATTTTGATTTTCAGATGTCTTTCTTAAATTTCCAGATATTGTATGCAGAAGTTAATGAGAAGCAGAAGCTGATTATTCATAATTTAAATTTAAGAGGAATAGCTACTTATGGTCTGAGTTTGGAAATACTTGTCACAGCTCTAAAACTAATTTTTCCTTTTTTAACTGTAAATAATTCAGACTGCTTTGTTTTTTAGAAATCCACAGGTAGCTGCTACCTGGAATGAAGTGAACAGCAATAGCAATGTACAGTGTGTTTCCAATAATAGAGATGGGAGATCGGTTAATTCTAATTGTGAAATTAACAACAGATCTGCTGCCAACATAAGGACGATAAACATGCCTCCTCCTTTAGGTATGATTAAGTATATTCACAAATAAGGTTTCCACTTCACTCCTTGTGAAGGAGATTTCATTAATATTCAGGTGTTTAAAACAGTGATTGATATCAGTGTTACTTGTTTTCAGCAGACTGCAGATATAATAGAGGAGAACAGGGGATGCATGTTGCACAAGGTGAAGATGATGACGAAGAGGAAGAGGAAGCAGAAGAGGAGGGAGCCAGTGGAGCTTCATTATCTAGTCACAGGAGCAGTCTGGTTGATGAGCCTCCAGAAGATGCTGAATTTGAGCAGAAGATCAATAGACTTATGGCTGCAAAACAGAAACTGAGGCAGTTACAAGATCTCGTTGCTATGGTGCAGGTAAACACTGCTTTCAGAGAAGTTTTTAGTCTTATTGAAAAGTTATGTGTTTTGGTAATTATGCTAGCACCTATTTATTTTGTATGTTCCAAGTTTAAAGATTTAGTACTGGGCTGGTGCAGTAGCTTAGCAGCTAAAGTCCCTTGCCTTGCACGCCCGGGATCCCATATGGGCGCCAGTTCTAATCCCGGCAGCCCCACTTCCCATACAGCTCCCTGCTTTTGGCCTGGGAAAGCAGTCGAGGACGGCCCAAAGCTTTGGGACCCTGCACACACGGGAGACCCGGAAGAAACTCCTGGCTCCTAGTTTCAAATCAGCTCAACTCCAGCTGTTGCAGCCACTTGGGGAGTGAATCAATAGACGGAACATCTTCCTCTCTGTCTCTCCTCTCTGCAGCTCTGCCTTTCCAATAAAAATAAATAAATGTTTAAAAAAAAGTTTAGTACTTTTCATGCCATTTACATCAGAGATTTAGAAGACTTTTTCTAAGATGATGAGTTAGCTGGCTTTGTGCACTATATGATCTCTGTCGCCTCCTTAATACAGAATCTGCTGTAGATAAACAGGAAACAGATTTGACTGCGCCAACATAACTTAGGGGAAAAAGGCACTGGCTTTATTTTGTATTTGTTTTGCTGATTACCCTGACCTTGTTAAGGTCATTTTAACATTTAAATAGTTAGAGATTGAACAGAAGAGGTGATAGGTACCAGGATTCTACCACTCCCAGAGCCAGAACTTTGAGTGCCCAAGATCAGAGGCTGAGATCATTACAACTTGTAAAAGGCAATCTGGGGCCCAGCATGGTAGCCTAGTGACTAAAGTAAATAATTTTTTTGTAAAAAAATGTGAAATATCACACGTTAAGATAGCCACATATAGAAAACTACAGAAAACTAGGGTTTTTTCTTTTGTCAGAATGAAAAACTTATTTAATTCAGTTTATTTTGAAGTGCTACTTGTTTTAATTTGTTCAAAGGTAAATGTGCTTCTGTTGCCTGTCAGCTCCATTCATATCTTCACTATGAAGAATACAAGTTCTATCTGGATAGGTGTGTTCTATGCTTTTATATCAGCATTTTCCCATTTTAAAACACAAGGTTTTGTTTTGTGGTTCCTTGTGTTTTTATAAATCATGTGATACTCCTGAGTATTATTTTACACTAGATCTTAATTTTATGCAACATCGTATTGATGTATACTTTTATAATTTAATTTTTCACTGCTTCTAGAATATTATAGTGAACATTCTTACACGACATTTTGTATATTTGTATTTTTGAAGAATAAATATAAAGAAGCTACTTTGTCAGGGTTTATGTACTTTTTAACTTTTAAAAATTAGAGACAGAAAACACTCCCATCCACTGGTTCATTCCCCAGATACCTGCAGCCACCTGGGCTGGGCTGGTCCTGAGCTGGGAGCTGGGAAGAGTACGTCTCCCATGCAGGGGAAGGGACCCGTGACCTGGGTTCTCAGTGCTGTGCTCCACTGTCCAGTTAGCAGGAGCTGGAGGTAGGAGGCAGAGCCAGGCGTTGCACGCAGGTACTCTGACGTGGAATACAGGTGTCCTAACTGACTAGGTCACATACCCACACCGGTGCATTTTCATTGTAATAGACGTTTCAGTGCTGGTCCAAAATGACTGTGTTCATTGATGCCCTAATCAATGATTTACGAATGATTCTATTTCCTCTTACTCTCAGTTTCATTTTATTATGTTAATATGCCATTAAATCACATTTAAGAATTAGAAGAATTGGCTTGGGTTTTTTTCCTAAAAAGCTGTTAAGGTGAAAAAGGTAAAAAGACACATCTGTTTACGTATATGCAAACATATATACATAGTCAAATGTGTTTTTGTTTTGTTATGCTTATACAGTAAAACATATCTGTGCAAGGCTACCTAATTAGGAAACATGAACTACATAATGAAGAATAGGAACAACTTTGTGGATTTTTGTTTGTTTGTTTTTACCTTTTGAACTTTAATCTTGACAGTGGACATACAAGAGAACCTAGCTAAAAAAAAATTTCATTTATTTGCTTGAGAGGCATATCTTAGAGAAACAGAGACAGTTTCATTCTCTGATTCCCTCACCAAATGGCTAAAATAGCTTGGTCAGGGCCAAGATAAAGCCAAGTACTGGGAACTCCATCCTGTCTCCCTCATGGGTACAGGGGCCTAAGCAGGTGGGCCATCTTCCTCAACTTTTACCAGGGAACTCGATTGGAAGTATGGCAGGCTGGATTCAATTTGGCCCTTATGAGAGGCCACCGCTGTAGGTGGTGGCCCAAACCTCTACCACAATGCCAGCCCCTACAGCAGGTTCTAAATCAAATAATGGTTTTGTAATTTTTGAACACCATTATATCATGTGTTCTGTGTCCATATGAATCTTTTTTCTCAGATATACTGACCAGAGTGAGAATGATGGGTCAGAAATGACAAATATAGATTTTTCACTTTTTATTGTGTGAAAGTACTTAATAATGCAACTTTTTCTTGATTTCTGGTCCTCCTGTCCATTAGAATGGTGGCTTTAAATTAATGCATCTTTAAATTAATGCAAAGACCAAAATGACACCATCAAAATTTTAAATTGATTAGAAGGTTATGTAATTAAGAGTCAATGCTAACTCATCATGGTTTTAATTACAAAGATATTTCTAAATGTAAAAACACCAACTAAAATCATTAGACAAAGCATGAGTAAATATGTCTGTAGAGTTAAGTATTTTTAGGGAAAGAGAGTTCTTCCCCATCTCTCTCCCCATTGTGTCATTTACATTGATTTCAACCGATAACATGGATCTGCAGGTGGTAAAGCAGGAACATTGCTATTTTTTCCTGTAGTCATGATAGATTTTGAGGTGTTTATAGTCTTAGTGTCACATGTATTGTAAGTGTTGGTACTTACTTGACAAATCCAAAGATCGCAGTGAGAAAATAAGGTAGTTATTAGGGTAAGAGTGAGAGGTGAGCTCCACTAGTACAGTTAGCTTCTTCATATTTTCCAGGAAGCTGATGTTTATATCCAGCATCTGGCCAGAATAAAAAAAGACAGTTTTTGTTATCACTGAGTAGTTGATAACTTGGAACTGAAGTGTGCTCATTTTAGTTTTAATACCTTCATTTCTAGCCATGACTAGAGGTTGAATTTCAGTTTTTTACAGAAATCATATGCTGCTGCTACTGCCTTAATCTTTTGTGTGATGTAAATTTTACAGCCTAATGTTATTTCTTTATTAAGATACAGGTTGTATAATCCAAATGTTTTAATATAATGATGCTGTTTTAGGAGGATGAAACAGCTCAAGGAGCTATCTCTGCCAATACTTCAAATGTGGATGACTTTTACCCAGCAGAAGAAGACACCAAGCACAATTCCAATAACACCAGAGGAAATGCCAACAACACACAGAAAGATGCTGGAGCAAATGAAAAGGCCAGGTATATTGAGCTTTAGGCTTTCATTTAATAAAAACTAGGTGATGTATTGTGTTGTGCTAGATGCTGTCATCAGATTTCATTGGCAATATAATATCAACTTCATTATAGAGAGAAATTTTATGAGGCTAAACTGCAGCAGCAACAGAGAGAACTAAAGCAGTTGCAGGAAGAAAGAAAGAAACTCATTGAGATTCAAGAAAAAATTCAAGCACTACAAAAGGCATGTCCTGACCTACAGGTAGGTAGATTTCTTTCTTTCAATTTGACTAAACAAACTTGATGTCACCTGAAAGTACCATGTCTTTTGACTGTAGTGACAGATTTATAATTTTATAATGGATGAAGTGAATAGTCTACAGAAATGTTTTTAGGGGGCTATCTTGCTTGTAAATTTCCTAGAGCAAAGATTGCACACAGAAACTGAGTCATCATCAATAATTTATTTATTAAGATTTATTTTATTTCAAAGAGTTACAGGGAGGGAGAAAGGAACACAGATGGGTCTTCCATCCACTGATTCATTCCGCAGATTGTCAGCAATGACTAGGGCTGAACCAGGCCAAAGCCAAGAGCTAGAATCAGTATGTGGGTGCAGGCGCCCAAGTGGGCCATCTTCAGCTGTTTTTTTCTGCCTTTAGCAGGAAGCTGGATTAGAAGTAGAACACCTGGTACACAAACAGGAGCACATAGTGGTTGCCAGTGTTGCAATCGGAAGCTTACCACACTATGCCACAGTGCTGGCCCACATTCTTCTACTTTTTGAATTAGCTAGCTGTAGATTGAGGATATGTCTAACACTTTTTAAAATGTTATGATTTGAACTTATGCACTCACAGATCAGCACCTCCATCTTTTTTTTTCCAAAATTACATAACAAGTGCCGTACATTATCATACATTGTTAAGGAACATTAATGGGTATAGTGTGTATATTGCATATATATACTTTTGCTTAATTACTAGTAACAAATTATATGGGTTTTTGAGATTGAACAGAGTTTAAGCTATCTTTGACTATGTATGATATTCAGGTGAAGGACTAGTATAGGAAGAAAAGAACAATTCTTTTTTATTTCCTTATTTAAAAAAAATTTTTTTTCCCTTATTGGTTAGTTTTGTTCTTTAGATGTTTTTTTTTTTTTTGTCAGAAGTTAAAAACATCAAAGTACATGTGGCTAAATTAAGCATTGATTTTCCATAATCTTGCTTTACCACTTTAATTTAATTCAGTTTTTCCTTATCCCAAATGTAAGTAATGTCCAGAGGAGTCTATGCCAGGGTCGGATTAATAATAATAAGTCTTAATGTATGTTGTGTCTGGTGTTCCTCAGGGTTACTATTTATCACCTTTAGCCTCTTTCCATTGATTGTACTTTTGGATGATGTTGGCAGTTGTTCTCTGGTAATATCAAAATATGGCGTTAGGGTCTAGAGAAATAAAATTGTACTTATTTAATTAATGTAATTTGTTTTAATACCACATAATAGTTTTTAAACCATTTTTTTTTAGCTGTCAGCTTCTAGTGTGGGTAATTGTCCCACAAAAAAATACATGCCAGCTGTTACTTCAACACCAATTGTTAATGAAAATGAGACCAGTATAAATAAATCTGGCTTTGAGGCTGAAGATTCTTCAGTAGGAGATAATGAGGTATGTTGCTATGTTGATATTAAGTTCTACTGTAAGAACGGAAACAAATTTAAATGTGTTTTTAAACAATAGTTTTATGTGTCTTAGCTGGGGAATAACTTTTTTCTATTGGAAGGTATGTTGGGATTTTTCCTAAACAGCAATACACTTGATAAAATTATATAGAAGGGGCAGCAAATAGTAATCATTTTAGTTAGAACGATGTGGCATTTTATTAAACTTTGGTAAGAAAATAATAGAACTCTTCTGAATAGCTTGTATTTATTTGCGTGCTACTTACATCCATTAAGAATTTGTGATTGCTTAATTCTTTCTTATTCACTGAAAATATTATTTTAACCTTCATGAATATCTTAGTATAAAAGAATAAAATGAGATTGGAAAGCTTTGTTGGTATTGATAATAGACTAATACAAATTCAAGTATTTACTTGACTCTGAGTTTTTAAAAAACAGCTGTGGTCAGAAATGAGAAGACATGAAATGTTAAGGGAAGAACTGCGGCAGAGAAGAAAACAGCTCGAAGCTCTGATGGCTGAGCATCAGAGGAGGCAAGGTCTAGCTGAAACCACATCTCCAGTGGCTGTGTCATTGAGAAGTGATGGATCAGAGAATGTGTGTACTCCTCAGCAAAGTAGAACAGAGAAGTAAGAATGTTGTGTAAATCTCTTAATGTATACAAATGTGTATATAGATAGATCTATTTATATAATCTACCTAAAACATGTATACAAGGCAGCCACTCTTCCCTTTGTACCACAGCACAAAACTAGTTCAGTGAGGCTCATGTTTAAGTAAGATTTTTGTGACCCAATATAACTGAATCCGGGCACTTGCTGTTCTTGCTTTTCTTTCTTTTTTTTTTTTTTTTAAAGATTTATTTATTTTTATTACAAAGTCAGATATACAGAGAAGAGGAGAGACAGAGTTCCTTTCGTCCGATGATTCAATCCCCAAGTGAGCACAACGTCTGGTGCTGCGCCAATCCAAAGCCAGGATCCAGGAACTTCTTCCGGGTCTCCCACACGGGTGCAGGGTCCCAAGGCTTTGGGCCGTCCTCGACTGCTTTCCCAGGCCACAAGCAGGGAGCTGAATGGGAAGCGGACTGTTGGGATTAGAACCGACGCCCATATGGGATCCTGGCTCATTCAAGGCGAGGACTTTAGCCACTAGGCTATCACGCTGCTGGCCCTGTTCTGACTTTTCATAGCTTTTTATATACTCTCCTATTATATTAGTGTGATATTTGTCCAGTGGCAATACAGAGTTTCTTGTGTTTATAACCTTACATTTTTAGTTAACATTGAAACTTATTAAAAGAATAGGAGAATATTTTGTAATGTTTTGTGTTAGACCAGAAATAGCCCTTTTCTGGTATATTGTATACTGTTTGTATGGTTTCTAAGACTCTTAAAAACATTTTATTGAATAATAGTTTGTTTGAAATTTCATGTTTAGATTATTGCTCATCTGTTAGATCAGTTAAGCTATGTGGTGATATTTTGATCTAAAATGATGAGGTTCACATTTATTGTAATTTTAACTTTCCATGTTCTACGATGATGTTTCTAGAACATTATATGAAGTCTCACTGTCTTAGAATTCTTTCTGTTTTTGGAGGAATTTCAATATATATCTTATTAATCAAATGGTATTTCAATCTGTTGTAGCTTTTGTACATCTATTTTATTTGGGGAAGAGGATGAATTTTCTTTTTCCTTTTTATTATTTATTGGTTAAAGATTTACTTCTTTGAAAGAGCAATAGAGTGAGATGCATAGAAATCTCCCATCTGCTGTTTCACTCCCCAAATGGCCTGAATAAAGCAGCCAGGTCTGGACCAGGTCAGAGCCAATAGCCAGCAGTTCTAAGTATTGAGCCATCTTCTGTTGCTTTCCTAGGCACATTAGCAGGAAACAATACTGTGATATAGGTTGCTGGCCTTGAAAGCATTGGCTTAATCTACCATTCCACAATCGAAGTCCCCTACTTACCTGTTATTTTACGGGGTTCTGGCTTCAGAACCATGCATCTGGGATTGTGGTTTCCGTTAGGATAACTATTCAGTTTTGGTAGCTCTTCAGAACAAATTCAATTGATGGGTCCAGCTGCAGCCATTGCAGACGTTTGTGGGAGCAAAGCAACAGATATAAGACTTTTCTCTCTTTCTCCTAATCTCTCTGGAATGCTTGCTTTTTAAATCAATGATTGAGTAAATCTCTCTCTTTTTTTTACATCAAAATATATGTTTTTTTTTTTTAAATACATGTTTTTCATGAGTTTTAAGAGGATCTGTCATATGCCTAGATCCAGAATTTTTTTTTTTCCTCAGAGTAGATTTATATTTTTATTCCATTTTCCACAAACTTTCTGAAGTACCTTGGTTTAGTTGTTGAATTTAATAAGTGGCAAAGTATTTAGTTCATCTGCAGAATGACATCTTGTATAATTCTTAATCACTAGAACAATGGCAACTTGGGGAGGTTCCACCCAGTGTGCACTAGATGAAGAAGGGGAGGAAGATGGATACCTTTCTGAAGGTGTTGTTCGGACAGATGAAGAGGAGGAGGAAGAAGAACAAGATGCCAGTTCCAACGATAACTTTACTGTGTATCCTCCCAATAGTGTCGACCATAATTCCTATAATGTAAAGGAACCTAAAAATAGGTTAGTTGCAGTGTTTTACTGTTTTGGTTGATTTCTTTCTGTACCAGGAAGTCCTGCAGTTCTTCTATCCAAATGTCATATAATTCAGTTCACTTAAGATAGTAGTCAGAAGTAGTTAACACCTTACAAGTAAAGGGGTCCAGTTCTGTTGATTGCCTTCACTGCAGATGCCAGTTGCAGGTGCCCCGTTTAAGTTTGATTTGACCATATGTTTGGGAAATCTCATTACCCCTTTTGAGGTTTGATAATTCACAGTAGCACTTGATGTCTACTTTTTATTATAGAACATCCAGTTCAATAACAACAAAATAAAAAATGTGTGTAGCACAGTGTATGAGGTGGGTATGTATGTAGAGCTTCATGCTATCCTTGGTCATACTACTCTCCCAACAGAGATGTGTTCCAGGCTGAAAGCTCTTGGAGGTCTGTGGTTAAAGACTTTTAGGGAAGTTTAAATATATAGACTTGATTAATAAATCATTGGCCACTGGTGACAGGATTCATTCTCTGGCCTCTCTCCCTTTTTGGGAGCCCAGGGAGATGGATCTAAAAGTCACAACCCTCAAATAATCTTACTGGTTTTTCTGGTGATGATACTCTGTTGTAAAGCCAATTAGGGTCCCTCCAAGAATTCCCCTCATCAGCAGGACCTGAAGTGTGATTCTAATGGGCTTGTTTGGAATAACAGAAAACACTGTCACAGGCAAGATTCCTAGGGTTTAGGAGCCCTGCTATGAGCAGGGACCAAGACTGGATACATTTTTTATTGTATCACCAGAGTAAGTTGCCCGACTGAATCAGGATTAATATGCACACTTTCGTCTTTGCTGATGCTTTGTGCATTAAGCAAAAGTAAAACTTGAAGATAGTGAAAAAAGATTTGTTACTAGTGAAAAACTTTATTAATGTAATAAGGTTCAATAGACATAATTCCATTTAGTAATGTAATAGGATGTGGGTAAACTTAAAAGAATGAAAAATGGAGACATGGTTGTATAATAGTGATTTTTCAGAATAGAGATTTATATAAGCTGTTGAATAAAAACATGAAAGTGACAGTTGTCCAAGGTTAGAAGTTTAGAATTTTCATCTCTATCATATTTTGTAATTGCTTTGACCTTTAAACAATAGTAACTCAAAGACCAGGTAATCAGGATTTATTGTCATATTTTTAAAACTAACTCATTGCATATAATAATTTAATGCTTTTAATCTTACATTAGATGGAAGAACAATCGGCCCTTTTCAGCAGATGGAAATTATCGTCCCTTAGCCAAGACACGGCAGCAGAATATCAGCACGCAGCGGCAAGAGAATCTCCGTTGGGTGTCAGAGCTGTCTTATGTAGAAGAGAAAGAACAGTGGCAGGAACAAATTAATCAGCTGAAAAAACAGCTCGAGTTCAGTGTCAATATTTGTCAGACTTTGATGCAAGACCAGCAGGTAAAATTTACTGTGAAAGTAAAATTTTCTCTTCATTTTTGAAGCAGTTTTTTCTTCAATCATCAATAACTGTTATCCAAAATTTTCTTTCAATAGACTCTGTCTTGTCTGCTACAAACTCTTCTGACAGGTCCTTACAGTGTAATGCCCAGTAATGTTGCTTCTCCTCAAGTACACCTTATAATGCACCAGTTAAACCAGTGCTATACTCAGCTAACATGGCAGCAGAATAATGTTCAGAGGTAATCTTTCTTCTTTGAAGTGTGCAAACTATGTAGGAATACTAATACTCAGATATTTATTATCACATGAGAATTGTATAAGATGTGATTTGTCTAACGTCCTTGTATCATACTGTGAACTGGACTTTGCTTAAAAAAATACTTATATCATTCAGTTATATACTTACATTGTTTGAATTATGTAGCATATAAATTATACTTTAGTGAATAAATCTATAAATAGTTATTTTCTTATATTGATTATCTGACAGAAAAGCTAAATTCAGTATTTGTTTCAAAGGCTACACTATTAAATTAAGCTTCATTGGTAATGCTGTGTGTGAGAATGATCAGTCTATTCTATATGTTATTAAGTCATTGTATATTCTGTCTGAGTGCACTTGTTATACATGATAATGTAATTGCTTTTTAAAATCACTTATTTTTGTAGGTTAAAACAAATGTTAAATGAGCTTATGCACCAGCAGAATCAGCACCCCGAGAAGCGTGGAAGCAAAGATGGAGGCAGCAGTGTACCACATCCTCCTTCACCCAGTTTATTTTGTCCTTTCAGTTTTCCAGCACAGCCTGTAAATCTATTTAATTTACCTGGGTTTACTAACTTTCCATCGTTTACACCAGGTAGGTGACTAAAAACATAAAGGGAAAATATATAAATACATACAGTTTCTGGACTTTAACATCCTCTTAGAATGGCAGTTACAAGCCTTGTACATTGTTTTTGTATTGGAAATTTAAGCTTAATAATATCACTGCTTACAAAATTACTAAAAATGGCTGCTTCATTTGTGTTTGAGGAGAAAGGGAATTAACCTAGCAAGTGGGTGTTATATATTAGGTGCTGTGTAAAACATTAGAAAACTAAAGGCCTGGTGCAGTAGCCTAGTGGCTTAAATCTGTGCCTTGCATCTACCAGTATCCCATATGGGCACCAGTTTATATCCTGGCTGATTCACTTCCCATCCAGCTCCTAGCTTGTGGCCTGGGAAAGCCTTGGGACCCTGCACCCACATGGGAGACCCAGAAGAGCTCCTTACAAGCCAGCTCCAACCTGTTGCAGTCACTGGGGAGGGAATCAGTGGACGGAAGGCCTTTCTCTCTGTGTCTCCCTCTCTCTGTATATCTGCCTTTCTAATAAAAAATAAAGTAAGTCTTAAAAAAAAAAACACTTTAGAATATAGGTGAATAATACAGCACATTTCCAGACAGGTTTTGTTTTTATTTGAGAGACAGAGAGCTGTCTGCTGACGCACCAAGTGACTGCAGCAGCTGCAGCTGAGTCAGGCCAAAGCTGAGAGCTGGAGCCGAGTCAGATCCCATGGAGATCACAACAGTCATGCCTCGGGCCATTCTGCGCTGTCATTCCACAAGCTGGAGTTTACAATGCAAGAACTGGGCATCCCCAGCTACTCTGATAGGGGATGTGGGCATCTTAACAGGTAGTTTAACCATTAAGCTCAACCCCCCTTGTCCCAGGGGTACCATGTCGTATTATAGAGATAAGCTGCTAGACTTAAAGGTGAATTCATTGAGCTAAGGCTTTTTAAAAAAAAATTTTATGTGCTCATTATGTGCGAGACATATAAACACTATGTTAGTTACTGGAGTTCAGGGATGATTAAGACTAATTCTGTAAGAATTTCAGAGTCTAGTGAGAAAGATGAGAATACCAATCAATTTTTACAGTGGAATGCTATGGATGCTATAGTTAATGAAAAATGCTTGGAAAGTGGTGGTAATCCAGTAACTCCAGAAATGTTGTTATCTAAATTAAAAAATGAAAAACATTTTTCTCTAACAGGCAGGCTTTCTTATCAATGGAACCATGAGAAAATGAAATGGTGTAATCCCTTGGTGAATTTGGTTGTAGTTAAGTGGGCTAGTTGTGTAGTTTCAGGGTAAGGAGAGAGTAATTCATTTGGCTGAAGAATAATGACACTTTCTGTGATGTGCAAAGACATTTGGGGTTTTTAATTTTGTTTTGTAATGATGCACACACTATTGCAGAGTATCTTCCAGTCGCCAGCCATCAGGCATACTGGGACTGGAATGGGTGGCTCTGCAGCTTCACTCTCATCCTGCTCCTGAAGCTAGTGGAGCACTGGTCACTCCAAATGTGATTTGAGGAGAATAAGCTTAGGTTTTATATTGCAGACAAAATGGGGCCATTGCAGGACTCTGAACAGGAGGGACAATGTGAATTCAGTGTGGTCTCTCACTTGGGTAATGGCCTAACTGCTTGAACCATCACTGGTGCTTCCCAGGGAGAGCTTTAGCAAGAAGCTGGAATCAGAAACAGAGCCAGGACTCATTAAGCCCAGGCCCTCCTGAATTTTATGTGTGTCCCAGGGGACATCAGTGCCTACCTCCGACAGTCCTCCCTTTGCAGGAATTTTAAGTCAGTGGCTTTAAAAATTCTAAGAAAATTTAAACTGTTGTTTAATTTCATTTTAAGTCTAAAGGTATTGTTCTCTTACTCATTGCTTTTGTTTGACAGGTATGAATTTCAGCCCTTTATTTCCTTCTAATTTTGGAGATTTCGCGCAGAATATTTCTACACCTGCCCAACAGCAGCAGCCTTTAGCCCAGAATCCTTCGGGGAAAACAGAGTATATGGCTTTTCCAAAACCTTTTGAAAGCAGCTCCTCAGTTGGAGCAGAAAAACAAAGGTACCTTAAGTAGGATAACTTACTGTTTTAAGGAATCCTAAAGAACTGTTTAACTTTATTTTGCTTATTTTCTCCCATACTTAGATGAATACGAATACCTAATTAAGTAGTAAGGGATGCCAGTGTTGAACAGATAAAATTTGGGAAATTACACCTGGCCAGAAAAGCTGGATTATGCTTAGTGGAAAGAGAATTAAAGTATTGTTAGAATGGCCGGTTGATTTCACCAGTTGTGGTTCTTTTCGGACTGCTTTAGGTGACACAGAGCATTGCATGCTCACAGTTGCTCTCCTGCAGATCTTTCTTAACCTCCAACTTGTATGTCCCATTCTCCCTTGGCTTTTATTTCCCTCTGTGTTCTATTGTGAGTTTTAGATCTTTATTTCTAACTTTTTCCAGTTAAAAAAAGCAGTTTAATGATAATAATTCAAAGTGATTTGATATATCAACCTGTGTTCTATTTCCTATTTGATATATATTTTTGTAAAATATTTTATGAGTTGTTGACAGTCTTAGTCATCTAAATCAGTTCCATAAACTATATCTTGAATTTTTAGTAAATTGAGTTTCTAATTATTATTTTAAAAATACTTGTTTTCATAAGGAGTCAAAAGCAGTCAGAAGAAGAAATGGAAAACAGTAGGACACCATGGTTGTGTGATCAAGAAAGGGAAGTAGAAAAACCATTTATTAAGACTGGGTTTGCAGTGCCTGTCGAGAAAGCTACCAATAGTAACCGCAAAAGTCAATTGGATACAAGCAGGAGAAGACACCAGTTTGATGAAGAGTCATTGGAAAGCTTTAGCAGCATGCCTGACCCAGTAGATCCAACAACAGTAACCAAGACTTTCAAAACGAGAAAAGTATCGGCACAGGCCAGCCTAGCATCTAAAGATAGAACTCCCAAGTCGAAGAGTAAGAAGAGGAATTCTGCTCAGCTCAAAAGCAGAGCTAAAAGTATTGGTAAGTAGTAGTATTTAATTTCAGTATGGTTAGATGTGCTAGCATTTTTTAGGCCTGTCACAGTCATTTTTGGTTAATTTTCTGATTTCCAAATGTAAATATTTTAAATCATGGCATTCTTTTTTACATTTTTTCAAGTTTCTTGTTTCCTTTGTATGTGACAACTATGAGCTCAGAAGGTATTATCCAAATTTTATAGGTTACTGGAAAATTGTCAGAATTCCTAAGTTTTGCTGTTTCGTTTATTATTTTATCTTGTACTACATCCAACTTTAAAATTTTATTGTATTACATTTATTTTATTTGAAAGTCAAACATAGAGAGGGAGACAGGGAGCGCGTGCATGCTTCTGTCTGCAGATTAATACCGGTAGTGCCACAAGCCGCACCAGGTGCCATTGGCTTCTTCCGAGTCTCGCAGGCTCTTTGGCCTTCTTACACTAACTTTCCCAGGCCATTGGTAGGACACTGAGTCAGAAATGGAGGAGCTGAGACACAAAGTTGCAGCCGTTTGGGAGGCTGGTATCAAGGGCAGCAGGTTTTACCACTACACCATGATGCTGGGCCTGCATCTACGTCTTTAATGATTTCTCCTCAGTTTTTTGGAAGGGTCATTTAAGGGAATGAGGACTTCTAAATACTTACAACTTTTGATATCATTTAAAACAGGTTTGCTTTTAGCCCTTTAATGACTAAATCCACATCTTATTGAATCTTGCCATTTAGTATCATATTAAAGTTCTCTTTAGTGTTAGCTTCATACCTCTACGAGAGGTAAACGCATACCTCTTAAAAAATAGGTTTCCTGATGTTTGAAAAATGTACTGAGTTTGATATCGGGTTTAAATATTTTATAAGCAAATTCTGGAATATTAGAATTGATGAAAATCTTTTCAGTTAGCAACAGCTGAATTTGGGCTATGACCTAGAGAGGTTGCTTTGTGTATAAGGAGCTAACACTTTTGTGCTTAGCAATATAGTATTCTAGGCCTTTGGTAAAGAAAATTTGAAAGAAAAATCACTGCATCCTGCCAACACTGTCATAATATATACAGGTGTAGTAGAACTGCTGATGAATCTTTTAGTGAAAAATAAACTTTGGCAAGCAAGTAGAACTTTAGCAGCATTCATTTCTGAACCCTTTTTTTGGTGATGAAACTCTTGAAAACTATGGATATATAGAATGCTTGCTCATTTCTATCATTTAAAGGATTTGTAAAGCCCTTGATTTCTCTTCCCTGCCTGTAAGAGAAGAATCTGTTTGATGGTTAAATGAGCAGATTTGTACAGGGTGATGACATTTTTTTCTCAGCATACATAGTTTCATCCTTGAAATCAGTTTTCCTGTTGTAAAAGTTAATTACTTTGTAAATAACCAGTGACCTGAAACCATTCAGATAAGTGCTTAGATTTTCTCCAGAATTATTCTTGGTGATGGTTGGGAGAGTGGGTGTGGCTTCTCCCTTTGTGTCTCCCCTTCCCCCAGATACAGGAAGGAAAAAAGAATGTGGAAACAATGGTCTTACCCACTTTCCTGTAGCCCTTGACCCTTTGCTAATCAACTATGTAAAGATCATAAAAAATTTTAAGTATTTATCAATAATTTTGAGACTGCCCCTTTGGATAACTAAATTTTTATACCCTTTTGCCTTGCCTATCCAAAGATTTTTTCTGTCACATGACTAAGTAGAGACTAATATTTCATCTTCCAACATTCTCTCATTCAACTAGAAGTATGCCAGGGCAATGCTTCTGAAACTGTTTCACATGCACTTCCTTGAGAATCTTCTTTAAGTGCAGGTTCTAATTCAACCATAACTGTAATAACCAGAGCAGAGCCGGTCCAGAGCCAGCAGCTTCTTCCAGGTCTCCCACATGAGTGAAGAGGCCAAGCACCTTGGTGGTCCTCTGCTACTTTCCCAAGCACATTAACAGGGAGTAGGTTTGGAAGTGAAGCAGATGAGACTCGAGCTGGTGCCTCTATGGGATGTCGGTGCCTCTGTGGGATGTCCGTGCCCCTGCTACACCATCGCACCAGCCCCAAGAAGCCTGCATTTCTAGCAGTTTCATATGCTGGCAATACTGACTTATAGACTACACATTAAAAAAAAATTTTTTTTGAAGATTTATTTATTTTTTATTAGAAAATTAGATATACAGAGGGGAAGATCTTCCATCCACTGATTCACTCACCAAGTAGCTGCAGTGGCCGGAGTTAAGCCAGTCTGAAGCCAGAAGCCAGGAGCTTTCTCTGAGTCTCCTACAATGAGTGCAGGGTCCCAAGTCTCTGGGCCATCTTCCACTGCTTTCCCAAGGCACAGGCAGGGAGTTGGATGGGAAGCGGGGCTGCCGGGATTAGAACCCGCACTCATATGGGATCCCGGGCTTGTAAGGCAGGGACTTTTGCCGCTAGGCTACCACAATGGGCCCTAGTCTACACTTTAAGTAGCAATAAGTTAGGAGGCTTTGGTCAGTTTGTGACCATGTCTCCCAAACCTTAGAAATACTGGTATATTAGTATGTTTTTGAAATGCCTTCATTCTGCAAAATTGCTATTCCTTAAATATAAATCAGCTTTTTAAATTTATGGCAAAGCTTGACTTTCTAGTCTTTGTGCTGTATTTCTTGATATTTTGGCATAAAAATGCCTTTTGGAAACCTACATTGATATTTGTTCAACAGCAATTCAAGACCCTGTATTACCAGAGTTGATAATAAAATAAAACCATATGAGGGTATATCAAAGTTTATACTAAATCCAATTTAAGGAATGAATTTGTTTTTCTGCTAATTTTGAAAGCCATGTGTAATTTTTTCCTAATGGACATTTTCCATATGCTGTGTTTTTTGTACCCAAAAAAAGTTTTGCCCCCTAAAAAGTCATACTTTTCTTCCCATTTTTTCATTAACTTTTTGAAAAATCCTTGTTAATAACAGTCAACTTGCAGTGGAATCAAATTACTCAACAGAATCCTTGCTACTCCAGATGTGAGCGATGGACGGGCAGCACTGCCGTCCTCGGGAAGGTTGTTAGAAAGACAGGATTTTAGGTCCACTTTATCCCAGTATGCTTTTTTTTTTTCCCCCTTCAATGTACATTCTAACAAACTTCTGAGTATTTTATGTGAAGATACACACAAAAGTCTGCTAAGTGCTGAGCTAGACTCCTGGGTTTTTGGTGTCCTTGTAGAGTAGAAACAGTGAAGATTTATTAGAGAAAGGATGTTCTTCCTTACCTTGAAAGAAGTAGTAGATGGAGGTGCATGAGAGAAAGTTAAAAAAGCTTCCATGTGGCAGTGGCAATCATTAGAGTTGAGTAGTAGGATGAGAGGAACTGGGAAATGAAGAGGATATGATAGGTAGAACAGCATAGAACAACTTCAGTTGCTGTTTAAGAGATATATGGGGCTGGCATTATGGCATAATGGGTTAATGGCTCTTTTTTTTTTTAAGGTTTTCTTTTTAAAGATTTATTTATTTTTATTTTAAAGAAAGAGTTAGAGAAAGAATTAATGACAGAGCGGTCTTTCCCCCAGTTCATTCTCCAAATGGCTACAATGGCCAGGGCTGGGCCAAGCCAAAGCCAAGTACCAAGGCCTTATTCTGGCTTTCCCATGTGGGTGCAGCAGCCCAAGCTGCTGCTTTCCCAAGCTATCAACAAGGAGTTGGATTGGAAATAGAGCAGCTGGGACTTGATCTGGCACCCATATGGGATGCCAGTGTCGCAGGCAGGGCCTTAGCCTACGATGCTACATCACTGGTCACGAGCTCCACTTCGGGTCCAGCTGCCTGCTAATGCACCTCAGAAAGCAGTGGAAGATGGTCTATTTCTTGAACCCCTACATCCACTCAGGAGACTCAGAAGAAGCTCCTGGTTCCTGGCCTTGACATAGGCAAGCTTTGGCTGTTGCAGCCATTTGGGGAGTAAACTAGAAGCTGGAAGACATATGTGTGTCTGTGTGTCCGTTTCCCTCTCTCTAGCTGTGTTTTAAATAAAATTTTAAAAGAATTATAATAGTTGTACTTTCCCAAATTTACTGTTTATGTGATGTTGTACATGTTGACATATTTCAGAAGTGATGTACTAAATCTTTGTGTGTTAAATTTCCCATGAGAACTGATTTTAGCCCTCAGATATTGCTCATGTAAAAATACATATTGCATGTGAACTAAAAATCACATAAAAATCAACTTTAAACTTTAATTAAGATTAGAATTGAGTATGATTGCCTTCGTAGTTTTTTCAGTTAACAAATCTGTAATTGGTCACGCTGTATCAGGCTAGCTCCCTCTTCTGATATTAGAGAGGACTAGTTACATATCCAAATTTTTCTCATTCTTTTCTTGGAAAATTGGATAGGACTGCTAATGTTTCCTGGTGCTGAGGTTGATGTGAAACCAGTATCAAATATTAGGCAAGGCAAGATCCAACAGATTTCACTAGCACAAGAAAAAGAAAAAGATTCAACTATTTTAAATTCAGATAGTTTATCAATTACATAAGCTGAAAAAGGAGGAGTCACTAACGATGCCCAGTGTCTGTGTCCTTTTCCAACCTTTATGAGAGTGAAGTTGAAACAATGGGAAGTAAATGACCATTGCAGTGAGACTGATAGAACACTGATGGAACACTGAGCAGTTAAAACTATACTGCCCTAAGCCATTTTCTAGTCTGATGTGTGCCCTTGGAATGAATCACAAAGATCTCAGGTTCATCAGATCCGGAGTGGAGATGAGAACCTCTAGCATGCCAGCCTCCCTGGTGAAGAACAAGGCGCAAGAAACTGCCCACAAAGAGCTCTGTGTTCCAGGAGGATTCTATGGCTTTCTGCCAAGATGTTGACTTACCTGTGTACAGGCCTCTTGGACAAAGTTTCAGCTGTAGCTATTTGGGTGGGAGACTGGGTATGTACCTTTTTTGAAGATATCTATTACGGTTTCCAAAGGTATTTTGTGTATGCCACATAATGTATATTTGAATTTGGTTAAAACTGAGTACTT